ATTTTAGAATCTTTTCTAGTTCTTTCATACCCATCCTCCCCATTCTTAGGGCTGATGCAGACCAGCACTTTAGGCTGGCCTGGAGGTGGAGTTGGGGTGGGGCAACTGCACGCTGGCCACCCCGAATCCACCCCAACTCTCCCCTGATGTCGTGTGCCCATCCACATGGCGCACAGCATTAGGGTGTTCTATTGGCGCAGCATGCATACATGCTTCACCAAAAGGATACAAAAGAGCTGTGGCAGTGGCTCTAAGGGGCAGCTTTTTGCCAACCCAAAAAGGAGCAAAAAGGGGGATCGGGGCTGCAGTGTGTGGTTGTTGCGGCCTTGATCTGCCACTCCCAGGGGTGGCACAGAGCCACCCCTTCTTGGCCGTCTGCATCAGTCTTTAGTCTTCTTCTGATTTCTTGACTGAAGTCCCCATTTCTATGAATAATTTATTCCAGGTATGGGAATTCTTTTACTATTTCTATTTCTTCATAACAACAACAACAACAACAACAACAACAACAACAACAACAACAATAATAATAATATTTATTTAATACCCCACCTATTGGAAAACTCTAGGTTAAACTCGTGAAGGTCTTAGGTGGTCATTATTTTTGTTTTCTTTAACATTAAGCATGCCTTTGCACTTTCTTCTTTGATCTTCTTTAGTAGGTGTTCCACATTTGTGAGGTTTTCTGCTAGTATTATGGTGCCTCACCAAACTACAAATCCCAGGATTCTGTAGCATAGAGTCATGACAGTTAAAGTGGGGTCAAAGTGCTCTATTTTTGTAGTGTGGACACACCCAGCCTATATCCCAAGGTACATTGCTTCCACACTGCACAATTAATGCAGTTTGACACTGCTTTAACTGTCATGACTTAATTCTATGGAATCCTGGGATGTGTAACTTGTTGTGGCACCAGAGCACTGTCTCTCAGAGGATGCTAAATATCTCACAAAATACAAATCCCAGAATCCCATAGCATTGAGTCATGGCAGTTAAACTGGCATCAAACTGCATTAATTCTGTAGTGTAGATGCAGCCATAGTTTAACTTAAGCAACGCTGATAGATTCTTTATGAACGTTAAAGAGTAATAAATAGAGATACTGCTCCATTTGTATCATTTAGGCTCCTTTATCAGAAAAAGCTATAAAATACGTCACTATTTCATTCCTTTTTAATTATATGCATTGCAGATATCACATTAATGATAGCTATTCTGACCTTTTAAATGCAATGAAAGTCACATAGGTTAATTAAAAATTATGTTTATTTTACTTCCACTGTTCTCAAAGATACTATAGCATGAGAGAAACTCCATTTTACACAAACCATCTGCTTATTTGTTTGCAATATATATAGACTCATAATGTGTAGAAAGCCACACATTTGGACATAATGGAACACAGCAAATACAGTATTAACTAGCATCTTAAAATGGCACAACCCATATGAATATATATTTGTGTGCTGTAAGAGGAAAGAGAAAGAAGTTGTGAGACCCTTATAACTTTTAATGGCTCCTTAATCATGCAAGCAGTTTAAAGATTTGATGTAAAAAATGGTCAGAATTGACAGCAAAATTAAGAGCAAAGTCTGAATTTTCATTAAAATACATCCAGTAAGTGCTTACAGAGAGAAATGTGGAATCCACATCTGATAATTGTAAAAATGACATATTTACAGCATTATCACTAAAGATAATTAATGTGCATTTTACTGGGTCAATCACTCAGAATAAATTCTGGAATATTGATATTTCAGTTTTATTTTTCAGTATGTGAATTGTGCTTTGTTGCTATATTGTCATGACATTTATAAGCATAAGAAAGCTAGCTATTACATTCTATCTGCTTTTCAGTAAAATGCTTCATATCTACAACTGAATAAATGCAAGAGAAAGCTCTAAAATGCAGTATAAACCTTGCTTACCTGAACATGAATACTAAAGTATAATGGCACTGCTGGGGCCATTATACTAGTGTAAAAATAGTTGTGCAAGAAGTCACACTTTCTCAGAGACTGCTTAAGTTTGGTGTCTGGTGCAGCCGATTATTTCACAAACATGCACACAACCCTTTCTCTTACTTTTGGCTTGGCATGTAGGGAACTACTTTATCGTTGTATAACATGCACAACAAGCTCAAGACCACAGTATCAATCACACCATTTTTGGACAATTGTGGGATCCAACTAACTAAGGTGGTGTATATTTACACTATTCTAAAAACTGAATAAGATCTTTGCCGCCACCATTTCTGATAAATGAAGTGCATGATAGCTTTTTGCCAGATGCTTATGTCAATGTAAGCTAATGTGTTACTCTTATTAATAGAGATGGAGCACAATCTAGTGGTGCATAGTAAAAATGCCAAGTTCAGGTCTCATTGGCTTCTGCGTCATTCATTACCCAGCCCACATCACCAAACCCTCATTCCCATCTCCGGCAGCAAATAACATTTATTGTCAGGAAGCATGGAATATTCCATTTCTTCTATGCCTAATAAGAAATATGCAAATATTTTTTCTCTGACACAAGAGCCAGCATGGTGTAGTGGTTTGAGCATTGAACTATGACTCTGGAGACCAGAGTTCAATTCCAGGTTCAGCCATGTAACCCACTGGGTGACCTTGGACAAGTCAGATGGTCTCAGCCACTGGGGAAGGCAATGGCAAACCCCCTCTGAACAAATCTTGCAAAGAAAACCCCATGATAGGATTGCCTTAGGGTTGCCATAAGCCAGAAATGATCTGAAGGACACACAACAACAATGAGACAGAGAAAAATAATCTCATGTGCCTTGGCCACAGTCTGTGCTCACAGCTATGCTCAGGGAAATCATATCACATTAAGGAGAAACAAAGATCTCTTTCTGTTCCTACTGATCCACAGTCACATGTCAAAGTTATGTTGTATGTAAAGAAGTGTCTGCACATTTTGTATGTCTGTATGTGTGCATAGGGAAAGAATATTTGGGGACTGCTGCTGTTAATTGTTCTTGCACCTACTCCCAAACACTACAGGTTATATTAGCAAGATACGCACACATAAATGTACATCCAGGGTACTCCAATATGGATTTAAAGGGCACACCAGGAATATTTAATCAATGAATCAAAACAAATAAAGGACAGGACTCTCATAAATGTATCTGCCTTTCTATGTTATGTTCCAGAGTTTGTTCCTAGTTGATAGTCCACAATTTTCACACTTAATATTTTGGAATCCTTACTGGATGACTAGTAAATCCTTAGAGCAGCATGGTGTAGTGGTTTGAGCTCTGGACTATGACTCTTGAGACCAGGGTTCAAATCCTGGTCTGGCTATGTAAACCCACTGGGTGACCTTGGGCAAGTTACACCTTCTCAGCCTCAGAGGATGGCAATGGCAAACCCCCTCTGAAGAAACCTGCCAAGAACACCCTGTGATAGCTTTGCCTTAGACTCTCCGTCTGTCAGAAACAACTTGAAAGCACAACAACAAATAAAAACTTGATAATTTGATAAGCTGGTTCAACACCATGGATGGTATCCAATATTGCTGTTGCACAGGGGAACTCATGTACTCCACACAGACACACACATTTCCTCCTGCAGCTTCATGAGATAGCTGAAAAAAGCTACTCTGGTAGGTTAGGGATCCTTAAAGAAATAGCTGAGACATGCTACTGTGGGTTCATTGAAAATGAGGACCTGGTAAACATCAGGCAAAGGCAGTTTGCTCCAAGTAACATCACATACTGGCACTTTGTATACTTTTTCCCTTTAAAGTTTTTGGTATAACAGCTCACAGTCCATGTATATTCCTGATATATCTTTCCTAGTACCTCTCATTGACATGTGTTTCTTCAGCTGTTGTTATTGTGGGCCTTCAAGTTGTTTACAAATTATGGTGACCCAAAGCCAAACCTATCATGGGGTTTCCCATATTTGTTCAGAGGGGGTTTGCCATTGCCTTCCTCTGAGGCTCAGAGTGCGACTTGTTCAAGCTCAATCAGTAGGTTTCATGGCTGAGCTAAGAATCAAACCCCAATCTCCAGAGTTGTAGTCCAACATTCAAACCACTGTGTCATGTTGACTTCAGCAATGTATCTCAACAAAGAAGAGTAACAGTTTGATTCTATGTATATTTACTCAGGTGTAACACCCACTGTATATAGCCTCTGCATATGAAAAGATGGGTACTGGGGTGTATGTGTGGATAAAATATGTCTTTTTTGTCAGCCATCATGTCCTTTCCAATAAGTTATTTGTTTAGAACCACCTTCTGGAAACAGAAAGAGGCAGAGTACAGATTCATCAATTCATTTTCATAAAAGGACTATCATTTATTTTGAGAAGATGCTGGTTCCACACTCTCAAATTTGTTAAGCTAACTAATTAATATTCATTAATGTGCATCCATTAATCATCTTCAAACAACTGCCAGGCAGGATTTGAAACCAGTCTGTTGACAAAAGCTAAAGAAATACAAATCTCTCTTCTGAATCTCCACATTCAAGCTATGCTTTCTTTTAATCCTAAAGTGGCAGGTTTCCAGAACTAATTTGTTGTTATGTGTAGACAGGCTTTAATTGTCAATGTATAATTGACAATTCTGCTAACTTTCAAAAACTGGCAGGATCAACAAAACAACATTTTACTTAGAGCATTATATTACATGTCTGAATTTAGTTTGTTTCCATACTATACTGGCTATAATTAAATATAGATGAACAATGGCTAGATGATAGATGGTGTGTGTGTGTGTGATAGAGAGAGAGAGAGAGAGAGAAGGTGGGGGGAGACATATTTGCACCTGTTGCAAATTTTTACATAGATTTTAACAAATGAGTTTGGTGTGTTTTTTAAAAATCTGTTTCTAATGGCAATGAGTGCTAGCAAATCCAAACTCACAGGATAATATGTGCATAGCTAATCTTCCTTTGACAAATCTTGTCATGTTGTTTACATTACTTCTAAATGGTAAGTGTTTTGCACATTGGTGTACACACTTGAAACAGCATAAGGGATGTAACTCTCTTTCCCTTAGTCTTTGGGCAATGGCACTTAAACCTCTTGTAGGCTATCATCGTATCACACTTACAATAGGTGTGTGTGTGTTCCTGTGTTTTCCACTTAAACCTATTGAGTTTTAGAGAGCCAGCACAGAGTAGTGGTTTGAATGTTGGACTATGATTCTGGAGATCTGGATACAAATCCCAGTTCAGCCATGCAAACCTACTGGGTGACCCTGAGCAAGTCACACTCTCTCAGACCCAGAGGATAGCAATGGAAAATCCCCTCTGAAGAGAATTGTCAAGAAAACCCTATGGTAGTTTCTTAGGGTTGCCATAAGTTGGAAACGAAGGCATGAAACAACAACAAAACTCAGAAAGTACTGTAGTGGCCCCCCTCATTTGTGACCAATGTAATAATGAGAGTACACAAGGCAGCAATGGGATACATGGTCTGTGAGCCAAATGTGGCCCTGTTGCTAACTTTTGCTGTTATTGCTAAAAGTGTACTGCCAAATTTGGTGGTGGTTTAAGAAAACATTCCAGTCCTCCCTCCCATTAAACAAGGCATGGATATAACTTGTTTATTGTTTTAAAGATAATCACACTCCTGGATATTTCTTCTTTCTCCTTTTAAACAAGGTGTGCACTTCCTGCTCAATTTCTTTTGATTTGGAACTGGTAGATTTTGTTTTAAATTTAAATTTAGCCAAACTACCAGATTTCAGTAAATTCTGAGAAACTGGCCCTGGATTAAGTTTTGTTAATGCCTGCTGAGCTAAATAGGAACTTGCATTTCTGCAAATCTTAAAGTGAGGCTGTGTAACATTTACCTGAAATTAAGTTCTGCTAAACTCAGTGGAACACACTTCTAAAACCAACATATATTGTAAATTCTGTCCAGGAATTGCATCTTCCAATACTGCTTGAAGATAACTGTAGATGCTTTAGCCATCTCTTAGGCTAGAACTTGTTGGCAGATAAATCATTTTATGTGTACTATTTGTTGTTGTTTATTGCCCTCAAACTGATTTTGACTCATGGCAACCCTGTAAGTGAGACACCTCCAATATTCCCTGTCCTCAAACACTCTGTTCAGGTCCTGCAAGCTCAGGGCTGTGGCTTCTTTGACTGAGTCTAGCCATCTAGTATGTGGTCTTCCTTTCTTTCTAGTACCTTCTACCTTTCCAACCATTATTATCCTTTCTAAGAAGTCATTTTTTTCCCCCATGATGTGTCTGAAGTATTACAGTCTCAATTTGACCATCTTGGCTTCCAGTGAGAGTTCAGGCCTGATCTGTTCTAGGTTCCATTGTGTGCCTTTTTGGTCACCCACAGTATCCACAGCAGTCTTCTCCAGCACCACATCTTAAATTAATAAATTCTTCTTTTGTCAACTTTCTTCACTGCCCAGCTCTCACATCCATACACAGTGACAGGGAACACAATGGCATGAACTAGCCTAACTTTAGTGTTCAGTTTCATGTCTTTGCACTTTAGGAACTTATCAAGTTCTTTCAAAGCTGCCTTTCCCATTCCCAATCTTCTTCTGATTTCTTGATTGCAATCTCCATTCCAATCAATGATTGGATCAATGAATGTATGGGAACTCTTTTACTGTTTCTAAATTCTAAATTCAATTTATGTAAATTTTCCAAATGCATTATTTTTGTTTTCTTAATGTTCAGTATTAAGCCTGACTGATCACTTTCTTCTTTGACTTTCTTTGGTAGTTTTCCAGGACTTTGCTAGTAGTATGGTATTACCTACATATCTTAGATTGTCGATGTTCCTTTCTCCAATCTTCATTCCACCTTCCTCAACCTGTTCTGTGTATGATGTTTTCTGCATACAAGCTGAACAACTAGGCTGACAGAATGCAATCTTGTCTGACTCCCTTGGTGATTGGGAACCACTCTGTTTCTCTGTTCTAACAGCAGCCTCTTGTCATTAGTACAGGTTTCTTCCCCTGGCAGATGGCCATCTAGCCTGCGTTTAAAAAACCCCAAAGGATGAGACTCCACCATTCTCCAAGGGAGTGTGGCCCACTGTGGAACAGTTCTTACTGTCAGAAAACTCCTAATGTTTAGGAGGAATCCCTTTTCCTGTAGCTTCCATCCATTGTTCCATATCCTATTCTCTAGAGCAGCAGAAAACAAGCTTGCTCCATCCTCAATATGACACTCCAGGGCTATCATATCACCTATTAACCATCTCTTCTCCAGGCTAAACATACCCAGCTCCCTAAGTCTCTCCTCACAAGGCCTGGTTTCCAGACCCTTCACCATTTTTGTCACCCTCCTCTGGACACACTCCAGCTTGTCAACATCCTTTGCAAACTGTGGTGCCCAGAACTGGACACAGTATTCCAGGTGAGGCCTGACCAAAGCAGAATAGAGTGGCACTATTTCCATTGATCTAGATACTATACTTCTATTGATACAGTCTAGAATTGTATTAGCCTTTTTAGCTGCCACATCACACTGTTGACTCATATTCAATGTGTGGTCTCTTAGGACTCCTAGATGCCTTTCATATGTACTGTTGTTAAGCCAGGTTTCCCCCATCTTATATCTATGCATTTAATTTGTTCTCCCTAAGGGCAGTACTTTGTATTTCTTTCTGTTGAAATTCATTTTGTTAGTTTTGGCAGAGCTTTCTAATCTATTAAGGTCACTTTGAATTTTGATCTTCTCCTCTGGGATATTAGCTACTCCTAATTTGGTGTCATCTGGAAATTTGATAAGCATGGCCTCTCTTCTTTCATCTAGGTTGTTGATAAAGATGTTGAACAGCACTGGGTCCAGGACAGAACTGTGTGGTATTAGTGATGTAATTAACTCTGGGCACATTCTTGGTAAGGATTCCCCCCCCCCCTTGCTATGTATGTGTGGAACTGACACTACATTCCCTTTGAAGCCTCTTCAAAACCCATATTTTCTGTGAAGCTTTTGGAACAACACCTAGATTCTCATTACAGCAATTTGCTAATGGCCTCTTGCAATTATTCACAAGCTTTGTGGTCTGAGAAAGTGGGGAACTTGTTCCATTGGGTTCTACAGAGCTGAGGAGATAAATTCTCCAACAGCCTCTCAGCAATGAGGCTCACCACTAGCAGTGTTTATATCACAGCTTTGTCCATTTCTTGTAAGCAAGGGTCCTCAAACTACGGCC